GAGTGTTCAAGCTTGAACTGGCTGCACATCGGATGTAACAGGTAGCAACAAGCTGCAGTTGCGAAAGTTCACATGTAACATGACATCGACAGACATAGCTGGTGCGAAGATTGCAGTATTTCTGCAAAGAATTTGGTATGTCGAACCAGCAAGAAAAGAAATATCTCACATGAGAAGTATTTTAGTGAAGCCCCAGGTCATTGAAAATGGAAGACATTTGGTTACATGCTTACAGTTCTTATCTGATTGTACACTGCAAAAATACGTATATATACATACATATATATAGAGAGATAGATAGATAGATAGATAGATAGATACCAAAATGTTATTGGAAGAGATTTTTCCAAAGGAGACATTTGTGCATATGAGAGCTCAATGTATGTTAAAGAGCAAAATGTAATATTTGGAAAAAAATCTTAAAACTCCCTTGTTGCTAATAAATTTATTTCGATGAATATAGACATATCTATCTCATCAGCCCGACTACATTTTCAGAAAAAGACGTCAAAAATATGCATTTTTGTTGCAGTAACTTGTATATACCAATGTAACTGTTTATAATAAATATTTACTTTTATATATATATATATATATATATATATATATATATATATATATATATATATATATGTGTGTGTGTGTGTGTGTGTGTGTGTGTGTATATATATATATATATATATATATATATATTTAAAGACATTTTTATGTTTATACATATATATATATATATATATATGATTAATTAAATGTTATTTTTAGTGGATAGTCGTATTTCAGTATACGCTAAATACATTTATTTAGGCGTATATTTCTTTATTTACATCTACCGGCCTGAATATTTCGAACCTGTCTTCACCCAGGGGAAACCTTTATGGGTTGAGGGTGAAGCAAAGTAGTATAGTGCCATCATTAAACCCAGATTTTTCATTGCGTCTCGAAATCGACATATCTGCTTAGTTTCGTATTCAAACGTAAATAAAACCCTAAAAGAAAGCATTTTTAATTTGTCAGTCCGACAACTTTCACTAATTATTTTTTATAGGGTCCGCGTATATGAGAAGGCGCCCCACTCTATTTATTAAATAGTATATTTATTTATTTTCGTCTACCGAAAGGAATGTTCTAATTTGATTGACTAACGGTTAAGCAATACAATTTCAAATTAATAAATAAAAAAACTCCATTTGATTTATTTTATATATATTTAATAAAACAAGGAATGTTTAACTTATATTTTATAGATACAAGTATTTAAGCAAATGACTTATGATAAACAGTATTAAGGCACGCCAGCGTATATGGCAATTTTCAATCTGTCAAATTAGGATGCATAATAACGAATTTTCATGAAAATTTCGGAATAAAAACTTTATCATATTTTTGATATATATATATAACCTTATATATATATATAAATATATATATAAATAAATTTCCATGATCGTCCATTTCTTAACATATTAAACATGATATGTAAGAAATGGACGAGAACAATTTAGATTATTGAACAGACAAAAAGCAAATTAAGGTTTATGGTAAAAATAACGCCAGCCTGAATGTCGGTTTTCATAGAAATGCAGGTTCGAATGCAACATTTTCTCCTATTTATAGAAACCATTAGGTTTATCATCCATTTGCTTAAATACTTGTATCTAAAAACATAAATAAAATGTTTTAATAAATTTTTTTTCTTAACATATATATATATATATATATATATATATTCCATACCTTGAGATGTCTGTATGAACAGACGGTAAAAATTCTCATGCAATTAAATTTATAGAAACAAGGATCCTTTCATGGGAATTTTTTGTATTTTTTATGAATAATTCTCAAATTAAATATGCCTTTTGTATAATATATATATATATATTATTCATGAATTATTCATAAAAAAAAATACATATATATTATTATATATATATAATTATTTATTTTAAAAAAATTATAAGATAAATATGTTACAAAATCACTACAAAAATAGCCTTTTTGTTTCAACACCTCCTGTGTCTTATCAAGTGATGATGTTGAATGTAAAATAAATGGTTTTAAAAGTTTCCAATTAATTAACGATCCTTCACAAGGGGAAAACGTTGTTCCAAAAGCTAGAATGACCTATCAAAATACAAGTATAGGAAAATTCAAAAAGCTTGATAACGAAATCATGTTATAATAGCTATTCAGATCTTTAAAAATAGGGTAATTTATTAAAAAAATTTATTCTAACCAATAATTATTAAATTATATGATAAATTTGATATTAAAATTAAAAGTAAAATTACCAATTTTAAAATCCCAATTTAATCACTATTAAGTTTAAAATTATAAAATGACTGAGGAGAAAAGAAGAAATACATATGTTATTCAATTTATTTCTTCATTGAAATTACGTTAGAATAGACGCTAATATGCCATCCGGTCCTCTCTCTCTCTCTCTCTCTCTCTCTCTCTTCTTTCTCTTTATATATATATATATATATATATATATATATATATATATATATATATATATATATATATATATATATATATATATATATATATATATATATATATATATATATATATATATATATATATATATATATATATATAAAGATATTATATATTATATATATATATTATATATATATATATATATATATAAAAAAAGAAAAAAGAACAGTAAGATATATAATCCGGTATTCTTAATGATATTTTATTTATTTTTTAAAAATAGTGCCAATTAATTTATTTAAAATATTATAAATTATCTGATTTAAAATATGTTTTTTTTTTGCTACACAGTAATAACCATTGTTCAAAAATTGAAGCTAAAAACGAAACTAATGCTTTTAATTTAATTAAATAATTCAATTTGAAGTTTTTAGCTTCAGTTTTTGAAACATGGTTATTATTGTGTAGTGAAAAATATTTTAAATAAGTTAATTTTAATATATATATATATATGAAAATTTTATCAGTTAACCTGTAGTAAAAGACAGTATGTATAAATGTAAAAGACAATAGGTAAACTGTATTATTATTCCTAACCGAATTACTACTCCCTCAAGCAAACGTACACATCTGTATCAAGAAATCAAAAGAAATCAAAAGAAAATGGTTGATTCCGTCACCACAACAATAAAAACAATATTTCCACACGTGACAGTACTTGACGTAATATTCAATTCAGAATATAAATATAAAAGCGTTTTCTAAATTCTTCCCCTTGCTAAGGACATTTTGTTTGTTGTTAATAGTTAATTTGTTTTTAATAAATTCATTTCGCGTTTCCTTTAATAAATCCACATTGGACGAAATCCGTCGGGTAATAATACAGTTTTCCAATTGTCTTACCTTAATACATGCAACCAAACACACACACACACACACACACACACACACATATATATATATATATATATATATATATATAATATATATATATATATATATATATATATATATATATCAGATACACTGATATTAATAGGCAAAGGTATGTATCTAAATGTCTATCTATCTATCTATCTATTCATCTATCTATCTATCTCTATCTACTTAAGTGTGTGTGGCGGTGGATGGTGGTATGTGTGTGTGTGTGTGTGGAGGGAGAGATGTGTATTTATAGATATGAACAGACTTTGAAAAAACTGACAGGTAGATAACGATCTATGCACAGAGATTTCTAGATAGATAGATAGATATGAACAGATTTTTGTAAAAAAAGGCAACTAGATACCGAACTGCCTACCTATATATATATATATATATATATATATATATATATATATATATATATATATATATATTATTTATTTAAAAATATGATTCCAACGCTACATAAGAGTTCTCATGTTTCAAAACAAGAGCCGAAAACTTCAATATAATTATTTTCACAAAATTTTCACACAATGTTTGCAACACTGATCTGCGCAATCACTGAAATTTTCGACGTGATCTGTGCCATGTAAACAAACTGGCGCCATATTTGTTATCAGCACGGAGATTTGAGCGTGCCAAATTATTAAAAAGATTTAGTAAAAATCCCAGAATTGAGCAGAGAAAACGTTTATTAATGTTGCACGTTAATGTTTATAATCAAAAGAAGCTAATAAATAAGATAATCAAACAAATAATAACAGATACAAAGTTAAAGTTTTAAACAAATTAATAGGGAATGTGCTTTCCCTGTTTTGAAATTACTTGATTAATCGACGATCCATAGAATTTGTTAATTGTAGGATGTCACCTGTTGTAATGCCACGAGATATGTCAAGAATTGCTTCCCACAACTCAGCGTTGCTCCTGAATTGTCATCCGTTGGCGTACAGTCTTCGCTTCATGATGCTCCAAAGGTTTTCGATTGGGTTCAAATCCGAAGAATTTTCTGGCCACTTCATTTTTCGAGGTCCATCGAAGCCTAACTGTTTCAAATATTCAGTGGTCTTGTGAGCAGCATGTGAGGGAGCATTATCCTGCATAAAAACAATTGCCCTTCTGAAGGCAACTCTTTGCCTTTTCATCCACGGCTCAAGATGATCCTTCATAAACGCTATGTATGCATCAGCAGTTATTTTGACACTATCTGGTACTCCCCATTGACCCACTAATGTTTTTCCAATAATACCACCCCAGATCATTATGCCTCCACCGCTTTGTTGGCGTCTCAAACGCTGATTGGCGATTCTGTCCGTTCATTACCCAGCCTTTGCACCATGTATCGGGCCCATCAAGTGTTGCTCGAGTTTCGTCTGTAAACGAAACTTTAGAGAAGTCAATCTTCATATTGTCCTCGGTCCATTTAAATCGATTTTGAATGTGATTTTTCGTCAACGGAGGCTTCGATACAGGTTTGGCTGTTGTTGATATTTCCCTCAGATACAGACACCGAGTACTTTTAGACACAGTAGGATACCCAATGCGAATGAAAAGCTCTTGGCAGGTAAGTCCAGGGTTCTTTGTGACCTCTCGTTTAAGTCGTGACATGAGACGACGTGAAATAACCCTTGGCTTGCCTTTATCTGCCCTTTAGCGTACTTGTGTAGGGTCGGCGGTGAACTTTTTCACTGTTTGATGACACCTCCCTATCATTTTAGAAATTTCTAGGGTAGATTTACCTTTTGAAAGTTCTGATGTGATAGTTTTAGCATTACTTAAACTGCTATCATGGCCCATTTTTTACTAAATTCTTACACTTTTCTAATAATCTGGCACGCTCAAATCACCGTGCTAATAATAAAGTTGATGCCAGTTTGTTTACATTGCGCGGATCAGTAAGAAAATGTCAGTGTTTGCGCAGGTCAGTGGTGCCAACATTGTGTGAAAAATGTGTGTGAATTGATTGGACGGTTTTTGAAATATTATAAAAAAAAGTTATCTCGATAATAATTTGGCACGCAGTGTATGAAAAAAAAACTGCGATAGATAGTTAAATAGATAGATAGATACGAACAGACTGAGATAGATAGATAGATAGATAGATAGATAGATAGATAGATAGATATATAGATATATATATATATATATATATATATATATATATGTATATATATATATATATATATATATACACAGAGATAGATAGATACGAACAGACTGAGATAGATAGATAGATAGATACAAATAGACTGAGATAAATAGATAGATACAAATAGACTGAGATAGATAGATAGATAGATAGATAGATAGATAGATAGATACCAATAGACTGAGATAGATAGATAGATACGTGAAGATTTTTTGAGAAACTGATAGCTAGAAAAAATGCTACCGAATATTGTAGATATATATGAAAAAAAAAAAAACTGCGATAGATAAATAGATATATAGATAGATACGAACAGATTGAGATAGATAGATAGATTGATAGATAGATAGATTTTAATATAACAGGTAGACAGCGAGCTCGCTAGGTAGATGTGACTCGGTGTAAAGTGATTAACATCCGGCGAGTGCAAAAGAACGAATAAAATCCATAAATGTCTTTCTGTTTCTCAGACACAGCAAACTGATCATCGACTCACAAACAAATGATTAATCGGTTATATATCCGCCAACGCCAAATCGATACACGGGGTTTATTTTGCGGGGAGAAAACGCGTAGTAAGCCAGTAACCTTTATATCAATCGCTTTGTGTCGGTCAAATAGGTCATTCTGTGTGACTATGAAGCCGCCGAACAAGATAAATGTGTTTACAGTTGTCTCAGCAAGAAATTGGGTCTTTACCAATAGCTTTATTTGACTATTTTGATTTGGACGTCGCAAGAGAAAATGGCGCAGGACATTGGTCGCGATAACGCCATTGAAAAATAGCGGGAGACTTGATGGCGGGAAATATTAGCGTTCGAGGAATTCCCGCAATCTACAGCGTGGGGGGGATTTATCTATTTCGGCTTTGGAAAAGGATAAGGTGTCCTTCATTTTCCCCACTTCAGAAAGAACTGGAAAAGAAATTTATCTAAAACCGACCAATTTTTAGGTTACAGGTCAGAAGTTTTTAAAATTTTGCCTTTAGGTTCTATCGTTTATTTTCCAACTATTGTATTTACCCGGTGTAAAAGATTTTGTGATCGCAAATCCCGTTACCCTTTAGGAGCACCACGTACTATGCATCTTGGGAATTTGAGATGAGATAATTTGTAGTTCATTAGGGCCGTAAAGGCACTGCGTATACTACAACCACCGTAGCCGTATCTATCCTGGAAATTTGAAATTATTATAAAATAACACTCTAGGTTTATAGAGGCACCAAGTTGTAGTGTTGTATTGACACAACAGCCTGACGGAGCTCAACCATCTCCTGGCTGGTTTGAATTCAGATATTTCCTTCTTTTAGACTAGACGCCAAACAAGGTCTAGTTGTTACTGTTTTTTGTGTATATATACATGTAACTAGTGAGCGAGTCAAAATGACTTAACTCCCTTTATGGTCCACCAATAGAAGGTTAACCAATCAGAAGCCGCAGAACATTGTATCCGTCGTGTATAAAGGCGGCCATTTTTGTTTAACCTACCCGAATGACCAGTGCCAACTTGTCAGGCGAAGATGACAGAAATAAGAACTACGCTCTGCTACGATATCCACTGCTAACCTGAACAATGCTTTCCTACTGTCTCCAAAATATTCACTGCTAACCTCTGGATTCTATACTCGAAGACGACCGTCATGAATTTGTAACACTAGTCTCTCCTGCTATTTAACCATAGTTGTGGAAGGAAGACGTGTATTTATATCTTTCCCAAGGGTATTAACAGGTAAGTGGATATAATGAACTCGACTGGAATTCGAATTCGGCTTTCAGATCATTTAATCCGACTGGCTATACGTTACTCTACCGTGCCCGCTTAAGAACTTTTACGTAAAATTTTGCTCTGCTATAGACATTACGTTTAGTGCAACGGTCAGCGACATGAAAAGAGACACCGGCGAGCAGAGTTCGTATTTTGAACGAGTTAATGGATGGACTCCATATTGCCCTAGACCAATCAGGGGCAAACTTTCGGGCCATGAGCTTTCTGCATAGCCTGCCTAAAAATATGACGTTTATTAAAATTGTCTTTCTTTCCTTTCATTCTCACACACACTCGTCTACAATCCAACACATAAACAATGATTAAGCACAATGTGTCTTGAATTTTGTAGCTTTTCAGGATTTTAAACCATTGACGATTTTCGCTGAGGAAGACCATAATTGTAAACATCGTTTGCTTCAGAAACAGGAAAGGTCAATGATAATTATTTTTCTCTCGAGAATAAATATGCTTCTTTTTTTACAAATATTTTAGCATTCTCAAATCAATAATTTACAAAAAAATCGAAAACGGGAGGCCAAGATGGCACCGTGAGTTGCTCTCCTTGAGTCAAGCGTTAGACATCTGGTTTGCTACTCCTGCTCTACATATCGAGATTCTTGATATATATATATATATATATATATATATATATATATATATATATATATATATATATATTATATTTAAGAAAAACTAAAACTAGTAATCCGTATGGGTAAACCTAAGGAGGATAAAATCCAAAGAGCTCAATGTAAATCCAGACCAAATAATTTAAATAAAAACAGACCACTTTAAGGTTCCATGTAATAAATTATTTCACCACAGCCATTTTTACAAAGAACTGCGGATCATCGGACTTTACTTCCAAACAAAAAATGAAAAGAAAATTTACACATTTTTGACGGGCCGTATTAAACATATGCAAATTAACGAAGTGAGGAAGTGAGGGGGAGAGATAAGACATGAGTGAGTTAGCAGATATTAACACATTTAACTCATTTTTTTGTTTGGCAGTAAAGTCTGATGATCCGCAGGCCAGGCTGTGGTGAAATAATTCATTACATGGGACTTTAAAGTGGTCTGTTTTTATAATATATATATATATATATATATATATATATATTTAAAGAAATGATCATACATAGAATCAATCAGCAATATGAATGCGATTAATGGCGAAATCACTTCGCTAGAAGAAACATAATGTATGCATTAAAATACTGTTAATCCATTGAATTATGTGATCCTCATTTATAAAACTGTTGTCAGAGGTTTCTAGTGTATATTTTTTGCAGTTAAGCAAGTTTTTCGAAGATCCATGTCTCCATCATCAGGCTGTAATTTTTTTCCTTTAAAATTTAAAACTTGAAGACGAAATAATTGTTTGTAGACCGAAAATGTTTTTAAGAATGTGCTATTTACTGATGGTTGTACAATATATATATATATATATATATATATTATATATTAGATAGATAGATATATACTGGATTTAGTGATAGAGGAGATAGAGAGAGAGAGAGAGAGAGAGAGAGAGAGAGAGAGAAAGATAAGTATTTCACCCCAAAGGAAGACAGGGGTGCCACTAGCACGCAAGGGATTATAGAGAGTGAAAGTAAGAGAAAAGAGAGGTGTTTGAGGAAAGACTACAAAGAAGGACTGGTATCAAGATCAAGGCATCTGATATCGATTGACATTATATTTAAATTCCTGAAGATTATAGTTATCAGGCAAGCAAGTAAGAGGAAGGGTGTTTCACTGTCGGGAAGTGCGAGAGAAGAAGCTGTTGGAGTAGAAGAGGCGGTAAAATTACAAATATTTCAACAGTAAAAGTGTGGGTCAGAGATGCCAGCCTAGTAGCACGCTTAAATTCATAGAATCCGGGAACCAGTTTAAAAAAAAAACCCGTCAGAGAAATTGTCATGTAAATATTTGTAGAAAAGACAGAGGAAAGCCACATCACGTCTGTGAGAAAGTGACTGGAGTCAGGACTATACCAAACTTTTCGTTTTACCAGCATGCATACTCGAGAAAACTTAAGAAAGTAGCAGGTCGATAGACGAAAATGTATTGTTTAAAATAAACCAAACCGAGTAGAAATGGAGGTTGCATTTAGCTATTTCAACAGTAAAAGGTGTTGTTCATGATGGCGGTCGTCTTCGAGTATAGAATCCAGAGGTTAGCAGTGAATATTTCGAAGACAGTAGGGAAGCGTTGTTCAGGTTAGCAGTGGATATTTTGGTAAAAGTAGCAGAGCATAGTACGTTCTTTTGTTTCTCTTCGCCTGACAAGCTGGCACTGGACATTCGGGTAGAGTAAACAAAATGGCCGCCTTTATACACGACGGATTGAATATTCTACGTCTTCTGATTGGTTAACCCTTCTATTGGTGGACTATAAAGTGAGTCAAGTCATTTGGGCTAGCTCACTAGTTACATAACATGCACAAAAAACTGCAATAAAAGGGTACGACCTAGATGCGAATCTAGTAGCACGCTTAAATTCATGTAGTCGGGGTACAAGGGAAAATATCTCATCAGAGCAGTAGCTATGAAAATATTTGTAGAAAAGGCAGAGGGAAGCCATGTCATGTCTGTGAGAAAGTGACTGGAGTCGAGATGCCAGGTCAGGACCGATCACATTGCATATCCATCTTTGAATTTTGTCGAGAATATCGAGATGAACAGCGGGTGCATCAAACTAGATATGGCGACAGTATTCGATGTATGGACGAATGGTAGATTTGTAGATGTGCAGGGTGGATTCAGATGAGAAAAAAAAACCTTCTGGCGCCAACCGGCGAACCGACTTTCTTGCAGTAAATGCAGCTCTTGTATCGATGTAGTTTATTCGAATTGTAAATTGTTTGAATGGAAATTAATCGAAGGTACAATTATACTAAATTATAATTATTGAAAATATCTATGTTTGTAATATGTACGCTTTCCTTTCTTTGAGAATGTCAATGATGATTTACCTAGAACAAATAACGCCCTTGAAGGATGGCATAGGGCTTTTTACAGCAAGAGTCATCCTATCATCCCACAATATTGAAATTCTTAGACGCAATTAACCCTTTCAGTCCTGCGTTCCTGAACAATTTTAACGCTTCTGCCTGAGCTCCTGAATAGAAATTCCCATATAATTAGTATGTCATATTTCACGGTAGATATATAAAAAAAAAATATTTACAAGTGTTCACCCACCGTTCAACCGGTAACTGGCCATTATGTCATTTTTCTCTACCACCGGTAAAGCGGTAGTCAGGGCTCAAAGGGTTAAAAGAGAACAAGACTTGCAAGAAATTCATATTGCAAAAGTAAGAAAAAGTTGGCAAAATATCGAGAACGCCAAGAAATACCGCGACGTAATTTGAAAACTTAAAAAAATTAGTGACATCCTTTAACGTGTACACTACAGTAGTTGACTGTTTTACTGTAGTATCATATATCTTAAGGTTATAAGGATTTTTTTTTCTTACTAAATTGTTTTATTACCAATATTTGTATTTCAAATATTTATCATTTGCGGATTCCTCTATAAATTTTTTACAAGGAAAGAAACTGTTGGAGTAGAAAAAGCAGTTACATTTAACTGTTTCGACAGTAAAAAGTGTGACCGAGATGCTAAACTAGTAGCAGGCTTAAATTCAGTTGGTGTACCAGTGAAAATAGCTTGTCAAAGCAGTTGTTACGAAAATATTTGTAGAAAAGACAGAGGGAAGCCCCATCACGACTGTGAGTCGAGATGCCAGGTCAGGGCCTAACACATTGCATATCCGTCTTTTGATTTTGTCGAGAACCTCGAGATGAACATCGGAGGCACCAGAACATATATGCCAACAATATCCAATGCATGAAGAAGTGGCTGTAATGCAATCGGTCCAGACTTGGTATCTCACCTTCCCAACGACGTGGCGTGGCTTCCCTCTGTCTTTTCTATAAATATTTTCATGACAACTACTCTAACAAGCTTTTTGCCAGGGTGTCCCTACTACATGAATTTAAGCGTGCTATCAGATTGGCATCTAGATACCTTCATTTTAGCGAACTGCAACCGTTACTTCTACTGCAAAAGTTTCTTTTCTCACACTTCCAGCCTGTGGAAAGCACTTTCGTTTATTGCTTCCCTGGTAACTACAATCATCAAAAATCAAAACGCAACGTCAATCGCCATCTTCTATTTTCTTGAATCCCGTTCGTCATTTGTCCTTTCCTTAATTCTCTCCATTCTTGCTTTTCTCTTTCCCTTTCCTTCCTTGTAACAGCCACTTTACCTACTAATGGCATTTCCGCCTTCTGTCATTTTAGAACAAAACTTCAGTTTTATTTAATTATAAAAGGAATTCATTCTCCAATGAAAAAACAATTGACTTTTCTACATTTATTAGGAAGACGCTTAGGCCCATGGCCTTTTGTTAGGGAAATGGGAGCGGTATCATTAATGAAATATGACTGTTGTCGAAGTAGTCACAACAACCAATATTAACTGATTTGCAAATGGCAGTCGTTGGTTTTATCCGATAGAATTGATATAAATAAAATAAATACCCGTATATATATATATATATATATATATATATATATATATATATATATATATATAGGAAAATTTCTCCGATTTAACCAGTGTAGAAAACAATATTTATAAATAAAAATGACAATAGGAAAACTAGTAATTGCTGACGCGTTTCGTCCAATGTGGACTTTATCAAAGCAAAATACGAAATGAATTTAATTGAACAAGTTAACTAATAAAAAACAAAAAACACAATGTTCCTAGCAACTGGAATGTAGAGAAACGCTATTTTCATATTGTTAACTGAAAATAACGTCAGTATTTGTCACGTGTGATGAATATTGTCATTATATCTGTGTTGATCCATTCAACCATTTTCTTTTGATTTTATGAATCTGTTGTGTACATTTGTTTGTGAGAGAAGTAATTTTGTTAAGAAAGGTGAAATAGGGAAAAAGCCTGGGCGTAGATTAATATTTAAGTAATTTTCTATGGCGGCACTCTCCAGAATTTTCCTTCTGAGTGAGTTATTTTCTTTTTTTATGAGTGTAGCATTTTTAAAATCAAAATTATGGTTAAATTTATTTCTATGTATGACTACTGCATTAGCTAAGTTGTTTTTTGTGAGCCCTCTTTTGTGCTCATAAATGCGTTTTTTTAAAACTTCTACTTGTTTCTCCAATATATTGGGAGGAAC